TTGGGTTTTTGTTTAGAAACACCGACAATGTTCGATTTCTCTTAAACGGGAAAGCAAATTTCTCCTACTTTAAGAAAAGATTGGAGGCCAAACTTGAACGAGGCCCGGTATCCCAGATATTTTATCAGAGTCCAGTCTTTTTTGGAAACAATCAAGTCATATTTTATAAGGTTGCAATTCAAGATGACGAGGATTTCCAGAACATGATTTCCAGCCATGTCTATTCTGGAAACGACTCTATTGAGTTGTACGTTCTGTTTCAAGAGCCTCCGGTGACACAGGAGGTAGAGCCTCCGGTGACACAGGAGGTTGATCCTTTGGAGAATGAGCAAGATGAGGTGGATGCAGTTGATGATGAAGAAGAAGATAACGATTTAGAGTTCGATGAAATGGTGAACGACGATTCTGACGATGATGGCATCCCAAGTATTCCTACCGACAAAATATACACACCACCTACGCACATGACAAACTTCAACATGGGCGGAGATGAACCTTCTACGGACTTGTTTTTCCAACCGTATATACAATCAGATGAAAATTTAAAAGAGAAGGACAAGTTTCGTAATAGAGAGGAATGCATAAGGGCCATCAAAAAATTTCACATGCTCAACTCGGTTGATTATAAGGTGGATCGTGTAAACCCGGAAAGGTACAAGATCAAGTGTGTCCACCCTGACTGCATGTTCAAGCTGACCGCTTCATACAGACTAAGGGGTGACTGCTGGGTCATAGGTTCCATGACTACCCATACTTGTGTAAGTTCCACTCAATCACAAGACCACCGAAAACTCAACCATGATCTAATCTGTCAAGAAATCCTACCCCTGGTCAGCAACGACCCTTCTTTGAAGGTGAAAACAATCATCTCCCACATCACCACGGTTTTTAACTACACTCCGTCTTACCGTAAGGCGTGGTTAGAAAAGACTAAGGCGATTGAAAGGGTGTACGGAAACTGGGAGGAGTCATACCGAGAACTTCCCCGCTACCTAAATGCACTCAAGACATATTCTCCAAGTAGTGTTTATGTTCTGGAAACATTGCCAGCGTACGCTCAAGATGGTAGTCTACTACATGGCAACGGAATATTCAGTCGCGTCTTTTGGGCATTTCAACCATGCATCTCAGGGTTTGCATCATGCAAACCAATTCTACAAATAGACGGGACTTGGTTGTATGGGAAGTACAAAGGCACGCTTTTGATGGCAGTTGCACAAGATGGCAACAATAACATTTTCCCCGTTGCGTTTGCCCTTGTCGAGGGGGAGACCGGTGGTGCTTGGAGCTTTTTCCTGAAAAATCTTCGTACACACGTGGCTCCTCAACCAGATCTCTGTTTGATCTCGGACAGACATGCCTCCATTGAAAGTGCCTATAATAATCCGGCAAATGGTTGGCATGACCCTCCTTCTACGCATGTCTATTGCGTCAGGCATATCGTCCAGAATTTCTCGAGGGAGGTCAAGGACAAAACATTGAGGAAAGCGGTGATGAATGCGGGATACGCACTGACACAGCCCACATTCAAATATTACCGCAACGAGATCCGTTTGTCTAACCCAGAAGCCGGTACGTGGATCGACAATATACCGGTCGAAAAATGGACTAGGTCATACGACAATGGCCAAAGATGGGGGCATATGACTACAAATCTTATTGAATCAATGAATGGGGTATTCAAGGGCATACAAAACCTCCCCATCACTGCCTTGGTGAAATCCACGTATTTTAGGATGGCTGCGTTATTTTCCAAAAGAGGTGAAATGTGGTATGCGGTCTTGCAATCAGGACAACTATGGAGTGAAAGCTGTATGAAATACATTAAGGCTGAAAGTGCTAAAGCCAACACTCACATGGTTACACGGTTTGACCGCCATAGCCACAACTTCATTGTGAAAGAGACAATTGACCACAATGAAGGCCTGGCAAGACAAGAATACAGGGTCATTTTACCTTCTCAATGGTGCGATTGTGGCAGGTTTCAAGCTTTTCGTATGCCTTGCTCTCATGTCATTGCCGCTTGTGCGCATACCCATCAAGACGCGCTTCAACTGCTCTCAAACGTTTATAAATCTGAAACGTTGCTCACTGTTTACAACAACAACTTTCCTTTGGTGGCAAAACCGGACTATTGGCCTGAATACAACGGTGCTATAGTTTGGCACAATGACCAAATGCGAAGGAACAAGAAGGGTCGTCCCAAAAGCAGGCGCATAACAACAGAAATGGACGATCTTGACAGGTTGGAAAGAAAGTGTGGTTTATGCCGTCAGGTCGGACACAATCGCAAAAACTGTCCGAATCGGGCGTCTGGCTCGACCACATAAATTTTGTAATACAATAAATCTTTTCAATATTTGTGTTGTAAACATTATGGGTTTTCCGTTAATAAAACTGTTCACACAATTTAAGAAATTCAATATAGGAAATTACATTAGGGTTTTCGCGTACAACAATGATTAACGATAATCAATCTAGGAAATTACAACTGTTAACACAATTTCATCTGACCCATGCATCATCAGCATTACATCACTGTCTGTTTTGACTTCCTCCAACCACACATTAGGTCTTCCTGTCGCATGCGAGGTTGTTGTTCGTTTTCACTGGATCCTTCGAATTTTTTCCCCCTCGGTGATGTCTCCATCTAGCCACCGCATCAACTCCCGCTTCAGACGCTCCATGGAGTGAATGTGCCAGAATTTCATTTTCATCGCGGGTTTCGTGGCGGAGAATATAACGTAACCATCTCTGCTAAAAATCATAGGCGACGTCATTACGTAAATAAGGGAGTACAAAATAAAAATACAGTGCGAGAAAGTGTGAGAAATTTCAAAGAAACAGACGAATTATTTATAAAACAGCAAAAAACCCTAGTTTTGCCCTAGGCGCCAAGTGAGATGGCGCCTCCTCTCCTTTTTAAGGAGCATGCGCCATCTCACTTGGCTAAAAGCCAATGGAGGCGCCAAGTGAGATGGCGCCTAGGGCAAAACCCTAGGTGCATGCGCCAAATGACTTGGCTCCTCCTTTGTGGAGCCATCTCAAACATGGTTATTTGCGTAATTTTTTCCGAAACCCGGTTATTCGCGAAATATTTTTTTAATACTTGGTTATTAATAAAAAAAATTCGGAAAATGTGACTAAGTTGTCATGCAAACAGAGTTCGAGTGGACAAATTTAGTATGAAAAACAAGCACTCATCAAACAACACCGTCAACAAAATCAATAAGTTGGACAAATCCATGTTTATTTTATAATTTATTTTTAGATAATGAAAGCTAATGTCTCGGCCGTATTGTAATTCCTCTAAAAGGTTTTTTGAAATTCATTGTTAATAATATGCGTTGTTCTTTTCTTCTATGTGGGCAGAAGGAGTTTCATATTTTTCAAAACATGTGAGAAAAGAAAGCTACATGCGAAATCACAATGACTTTCCGTGATTTAACGCAAGACCTCTATTGGAAGAATCGCGTCAACATTTATCAAAGTATTTTAAACGTATGCCGTAAATTCATAGAGAGCTCTCTGGCCGTGTCAACGTTCATCAAAGCGTTTTGAACACCCTTCACGAACTCATAAAGAGGTCTCCGACTGCATCAACACCCATCAAAACGCTCTGAACGTATGTCGTAAACTCATAGAGAGGTCTTCGATCGTATCAACACCCATCAAAGCGCTATGAACACCCGTCGCGAACTCATAAAGAGCTCTTCGTCCGCGTCACCGCCCATTAAAGTGCTACGAATGCCTGTTGCAAACTTATAAGAGCTCTCCGTCCACTAAAGTTTGTGATCCCAAAATCAGCGTACCTCAGATACTACATCATCAACCACGACGATAATTCACTTAAACTATCTCGGGAAAATTACTATCTTAGATATTGGTCTCGGATAAAGAACCTAAGCAATCGAACAATTTACCCTTACAGACTTCATGCTTGGGGGACTTATGTACATTTGGGATGTCTAGCCTAGATCCTCGACCAAGCTGCTAATATAACTTAAGCGATTCGCCCTTATCAAGACTCACACTTGGGGGACTATGTACATCCCGGGTTTGAGAAACCGGGATGAGACCTCCATCTACTCGGAATCAAAACTGTCTCGACCTTTCGAGAGGAAGAAGAGCCAAGTCGGTCAACAGAGCTCGACTACGAAGTTGGCCAATAGAGCCTGACCACGAATTAACTACCAAGTCGACCAACAAAACATGACCACAAAGTAACTATCAAGTCGACCAACAGAGCCCGACCACGACATAACATTTTATCCGGCCAAGAGAGCCCGACCAACAAAGGTATACCACGTAGCAACAACCCATGCAGTCAATCAGACATGCATTCATGGACATTTAAGAAGATGTTCAAACACGTCTCCTATGTGATAATTGCCGCATCAATAACCAGGATTACTAATTTATCACATTGACTACCATTATCTTACAAAGAAGACTATAAAAGAGAGACCTCATCGAAGAAAAAGGGATCAACAATTTAACATAAAAACACTTATATATCGCGACCTCTTCTGGCCAACATCGAAGATGTTATCAATTCTGTTCTTCATGAACAAATCGGTTTGGTTTGATTCAGTTATTAAATTACAATGTTTTTTCTATACATTATACTTATCAGTGTATTCTCTACTGTATTTTTTAGTGTATTTTATGCTATTATTTTTTAGAATAATATATTTTATGTAATTTATTTGATGTTCAGTTTTTCAAACAAATTACAAATTATTCTTAATCCATACAAAACTTTGACATAATTTGCATAACATTATAAAATAGATTCGCTATCAAATATAAAAATTAATAACTTATCAAAAAATTGAAAAAAAATTTAAAAACTTAGCAGATAGAATTTACATCAATTAAAATGGTTAGCATCTCAAACACATCAATTAAAAAGTTTAAGAAAACATGGAGAATGGTAGGAGTATTTATTTATTTAGAACAATGAGTTGATTTAGGGAGTGAAGGGTGAAATTTGAAGCATGTCAACAAGCAGGCAAGTGGTGGTTGTCGACAACGGCGGGGGTTTAATCAAAGCAGGGTTCGGCGGCGAACGCGAGCCATCCGCCATTGTCCCGAACTGTCTCCACAAACCCGTGGCCTCCAAAAAATGGGTCCACCCAAATCCCCTAAACACCCCCGGCTCCGCCGAAGAGGACCTGACCTCGGCCTCAGTCCGGCGACCCATGGATCGTGGGTACCTCATAAACCCCGACCTCCAACGCGAAATCTGGTCCCACCTCTTCACCTCCATCCTCCGCATAAACCCTTCCGAATCCTCTCTCCTCCTCACCGAACCCCTCTTCTCCCTCCCTTCCATCCAACACTCCCTCGACGAACTCGTCTTCGAAGATTTCAACTTCACCTCCCTCTACGTCGCTGATTCCCCTTCCCTCGTTCATCTCTACGAAACTAGCCGTAGCCCCACTGGACTCCTCTCCAAAGCTCAATGCAGTCTCGTCGTCGATTGTGGTTTCTCCTTCACCCACGCTTCACCTGTCTTTCAGAACTTGACTCTTAACTACGCTGTCAAGAGAATCGATTTAGGTGGGAAAGCCCTAACCAACTACCTCAAGGAACTTATTTCCTTTCGCTCTGTTAATGTCATGGATGAAACTTTCATCATTGACCATGTTAAGGAGAATCTCTGCTTTGTTTCCCTCGATCTTCCCACACACCTTAACATTGCTACTAAGACTGGAAATCACAATCTTTTCAGGTCTACTTATGTGCTTCCTGATGGTGTCACGCACACTAAAGGCTTTGTTAAATATCCACCACAACCAAACACCTATCTTCCTGAGGCTAAGGATCAAATTCTTCCACAACAACATCACAACAATACACACAAACTTGACTTGACAAAAAATGTATTTCTTTTTCTTTCAACTTCACATTCATATATGTCTCCATCTTGTTTAACCTTTCTCTTCTATAGGAATTTGACTTGACCAATGAACGCTTTCTTGTCCCCGAGATGATTTTCCGTCCAGCTGATTTGGGTATCTTCTTATTATTTTACTGCTATTTTCATATTAGATTAGATACACATCATTATTGTGAATCCAAATCCTCATGTGTATATCGAAAGTACCCATAAAACCTTACTATTGTACTTGAAATCACACTTGTACACTGCAATATAAAACATTGGAATTTTAGTTAAATATTTGGTTAATGTAACTTCAAACCAGGATCTTTGTCTAATTTCATTATTTACCCCCTTAATAGTGTTCTCTGCAAAATGCTGAACAAAATTGGTTTTGTAGGAATGAACCAGGCTGGGCTACCAGATTGTATTGTACGAGCAGTAAATGCTTGTCATCCGCACCTCCACCCCGTACTCTATGAAAGGTAATTTCCGTTTGATTTCATGATCCGGTTTGTGGATTGTTGCCTTTTTTTTTTTACTTCTCACTCTCATCTTTGGATGTTGTGTTTATGATTTTTGGCAGCATCATTTTAACTGGTGGAAGCACCTTGTTTCCTCATTTTGCTGAGAGACTGTAAGTTTTTTGTTTTGGCCTCAACACTTTGTACCATTTTTATTTTGGTTGGGGTGGGTGGGCATAGATTCTTTGTTTGTTTTTTAAAACTAAACAAAATATTTTGTACCAATATTTATGGATAAGCTTTTAAACTTGAACAAAATTTTTTGTTTAACTGATTTGGTTAACGTTGAACTGATTTTTAAACTTGTCTTAGTATTGTATCGATTCCATAAATTATTTGAACCTTGTGCAATGGTCACCGAAATTTTCCCAAGGGAATTTACCCTCGCCCCAAGGCCATCACCACCTTCCTCTTTTGGCTTGCCACTTCATACAAGTTACAACTCGTCCCCATTAGATATTGCCTCCTCTTCTGTCAACACCACTGGTATCCCCGATTGTAAAAGATCACCGCTCCCCAATCCAAGCTTCCACTACCTCCCAAAACCACTAGCAAAATGCAGATATATGATCCACTGTAATATGCTGAATGCACTTTGTTACAAAGTTGGGCCTTTAATCTTTTCATAATGAAATTACTTTCTTTTTTACATGCATATTTTTGGGAACCAAACCTGAAATAAGAGAGAGAAAGGAGATGTACCTGTTTTGCAACTCGCGAGGCAGGGTCAAACCCAAGAGATGACATTTTTAGAATACAATTTGGAGATTTGGAATTTGAGAGTAAAATAATTTGGGTTATTTAAGAAATCCATATCTGAATAATAAACAGACTTGGTTTATCTATGTGTTTAAACGGTTTGATTATTTTAACTGTGATTTACTTCAGTTTCAAGTTTGGTTTGGTAATATTGCCTTTTCTGGATACCCCTATTTTTTGCCACACTGGTGTCCTAGATTTTCCGTTGCATGTATAGCGCCTATTACAAATTTAACTAATTGATTATGAAATTTGTAGGGAGAAGGAGCTTCGGCCTCTAGTTCCTGATGACTATGATGTGAGGATAACTACACAAGAAGAGTAAATATCTTTCACAGTCTGTTTAGTTTCTTACAAGTTTGTTATTTCTACACAACAACTAATGGTTCTTCTATAGTCCCCTATTAGGTGTTTGGCGTGGAGGGTCTCTCCTGGCATCGAGTCCAGATTTTGATTCAATGTGCGTGACTAAGGCTGAGTATGAGGAGCTTGGATCTGCTAGATGTCGCAAGAGATTTTTTCATTGACGCATGCTACAAATGCAGATATGCAAATATGTACACTAACATGTACTATAATATTTTTACATAAACTAGTCTGTACCCATATTGGAAACGGATATTCTGTTGTCCATATGATGGCAGGCCCAAGCAAATTAAGACTAAGCCCGTATGGTTGAAAGATTATAAAACAAACTAGAAGAGTTCTTATTTATTATAAGAGGATTGCTTAATGCATCCTATGTGTTTTTTAGGCACCAGCGTGAATTTCCAAAAATATCTCTAAGAAACGGAAATACATTTTTGGGACGCACTAGCATTTAGTTTAAAAGAAACAAAATCGGAAATGCATATCCGATTTATAACCGAAAGTGTATTTCTAGTATTATTCATTACAGAATATAGGAAAATTAATACTTACACATTATATCAAGATTCTCAAACAAAATCTAAAATTATATAAAGTAAACAATACATATGAGATTTAAACATATATGCGATATTACTTTTCAACATCCGGGTGGACATTGCAATAGCTTCAAAATTTCACCGACCGTTCTTGTAATCATCATATCAAGCTCGATTTGAATTTTTTTGTCGTAACTGAAAAAAGTTTCTCATATAGCTCGTAAATTAGTGCTTGTTTGTATTTCTTTGTTGATAAACTCAAGCTTTCTGTCGTTGTTAATGGATGGAGAGCGGTAATCAATCTTCAAAAATTTTCGATTGTTGCCAAATGGTAAAAAGTCTTCGAATGGTGTAATGAAGATCTTCAAGCGGTTCGTACATGTTGGTCTTGAATTCCCTTGATGGTAGATCTCCGTTAACGAAGCGAACTTTTCCAACATGTCAAATGATATTCATTTTTTGTTTTAGTGTTTAGACATGAGATAACATGAAAGAGAGGGATGAGTTTCTTATATAGTAGTTTGAGGATGTTATGGACCACACACATGCTATCTGTTGACAGAATGTAAACCAAAAATATATTTCTGGTTTATAACTCCTACTGTTATTTCTCTATTTCTGGTTTATAATACCAGGGACTTTATCGGAAATGTATTTTCGGTTTTCAAGTTAACTTGAAAATCGGAAATACATTTCCGATAAAGTCCCTGGTATTATAAATCAGAAACAGAGAAATAACAGTAAGAGCAGATTGCATGAAAATATAATTGAGAATATTCCACGTCATAATTCATTAACAAAAAGACGTATACATCAAAGTCATATTTAACTACTTAAAAAATCCGAAATAATTGTCTCTCGACAAATCCAATGCATGATTTCATCTCAAGTTTCATATTCTTGTTCATTTATAAAATGCTTCCGCACATCGACCGCCTTGATAGCAATAGACGAAACAACAACATGCGAATCACCTTGAGACACAATAGGAGAAACACCTTGGGAAAGAATAGACGAGACATCTTGAGACACAATAGATTTGGGACAATTATCGGGATGCACCATACCAAATATGTAAAAACAAATTAAACAAAGAAATATCCTAAGCAGATAAAATTAAGTTGTTGGAAAAAGCTGATACATGAATCAGAAGTACATTTCCGGTTAAGTTTATCTGAAAACCGAAAATATACTTCCGATATTAACGTGACATTGTTTCCATAAAATGAACAAATTAATGTAGATTGAAAAGAGGAAGTTTTACCTTAAATCCAGTTTCCTTTAATTCATTTTGATATAACGCACCACAAGAATGTTGATTTTGAGTGAAAAATGGTGTGATACGGTGGAAGAACCGATTGTTATACTGGTTTTGCGTTTGTATTTGCAAATGTTGCGGTAAGCAAGAGTCTCCACTGACTTTTCTTTTATCTAACAAAGGAAGGGGTGAAAAGAACAGAAAAAGACCTTTCGAGAGTTTTCTGAGTAAGGGGGTAGATTATGGAAAGGAAAGGTGTTAGCACCCTTTTCATCCGTAGTTTTCTACGGGCTCTTAGATGCTTAGCTCATTTTTGAAATACCTTGTGCTTTTGTGGGTTTTGAAAAGTATTTTTGAAAATGCCTTAGTGCGGCGATTCGCTTTATGATAACTCTTGTATCAGTCCTCAAGAGTGTTGATAAAACATTTTTTGAAAGTGTTTTTGAAATGTCATGTGTAAGTGCAAAAGATTATTTTGAGCAAGCATCTAAGAACTATATACTTATACTCGAAATTTTTTTTCTTTTCCTCCTATCCTTTAGACAATGCTATCCTAGTATTAGTGAGTAGGTAGCCCAATCGTTTGATATTTGAGGGACATTCGAAGGGACGTATAGTCATAAAGGCAACATATAGAGACACTTTAACAATTTTGTTTAAGGGACTAGATCATTTACCGAAAGGAAACACCGTAGGGTCATCGAGGGACTATGATCTTTTTATTTGAGGGTCTTTTGCTAAAGCGTCCCTACTTTCGAGGGACATGACTGTTTTATTTTCTGAAAGGCAACCAAAGTGGGCGTATCCTAGAGTTGTATATGTGCAAGGTGTGTTATGTTCAGTTATTTTAGTCTTGAATTAAGTTTTCTAACGTTTGATTATGGATCTTGTCATACAATCCTATTATCATGCATCTAAACAGTTTAAATATTGCAGAAGTTTAAAGTGCGGGAATTAAAGCTACGCTATTACAAAGCTTCGGGGATGGGGATATGTACATGTCTAAAATTTTGGGAGGAAAATAAAGAAAAGCAGTAAAGAGCCCTAGTTAATTCTATTACATTCCATCAGCAGATACATTAGTATAAAAAAGTGCAAAAATAAACAACGCGTGCGAAATGGAAAGAGACGTCTAAAACCCTAAAAAATTTCTAAGTAAAATAAGAAAATCTTTTTAGTTTTTTTGTGTGCTTATTTTAATAAAATAATTAAACTACCTTAAATATAAATTTAATTAAAAAAAGATAATTTATTAAATGAATCTAAGCCTAATTCTAATATTTTTGTATTTTTATTAATAAAATATTTGAATTAAATAAATATAATTCTAATTGGTTTTTAATTGATAAAATAAAGTAAAAAATAATTAATTAAATTACAAAAATTTAAAATTAATTAGAAAAATCCTAAGTCTATTATTTTTATGATTTTTTGTCTGATTTTATGATTTAATAAAAAAATGGTTTTAAAAAATAAAATATAAACAAATAAAAAAAATCTAAAAAGAAAAAAATAGAAAAAGATAAAACTGGGCCTGATATAAAAGAAATAGGGGGGTGTGCGCTGGAATTTGTTAGGCCCAAATTAAGCTGGCCCAAGGTCCTGTATGGATCAAGTGGGAGGATCCTTTGAATGTCCATGACGGGGGTGCATATTTGATGCGCTTGGATCTGACTACGTTGATCTTTGATGGTGTAGATCTGATAGCTTATGGTAGGCGCTTGGTGATGCAACGCATTGGATCCTGCAAGAAAATGTTAGAAAAATAAAATTGCTGGACCTGAGACTCAAACCCAGGCCTTCTTCCTTTTCACGCGCATTGCCTTGCCATTTGAGCTGCTGTTTCAATTGTTATCATAATGAAACAAATATAATATAATATGAAAACAGTATTATCCCCAGATTTTCAAAACGCGCGTGCTGAGATTCAAATGGGCCAACAAGGTGATGACGTGCATGATGTCGGAGTCAACAATTTTAGGGGTGCCAGAGTCAAACTCCGGTCACATTCTCCGACCAAGATTGCTTCAGGATGATGAGAAGGAATCCGTGTATGATTGCTTCAGAATGAGTCCGTGTTAGACCGCATCTGGAGATCATGAGAAGAAACCCGTGTAAGATTGCTTCAGGATGAGTCCGTGTTAGACTGCATCTGGAAATCATGAGAAGAAACCCGTGTAAGATTGCTTTAGGATGAGTCTGTGTTAGACTGCATCTAGAGATCATGAGAAGGAACCCGTGTAAGATTGCTTTAGGATGAGTCTGTGTTAGACTGCATCTGGAGATCATGAGAAGGAACACGTGTAAGATTGCTTCAAGATGAGTCCGTGTTAGACTGCATCTGGAGATCATGAGAAGGAACCCGTGTAAGATTGCTTCAGGATGAGTCCGTGTTAGACTGCATCTGGAGATCATGAGAAGGAACACGTGTAAGATTGCTTCAAGATGAGTCCGTGTTAGACTGCATCTGGAGATCATGAGAAGAAACCCGTGTAAGATTTCTTCAGGATGAGTCTGTGTTAGACTGCATCTAGAGATCATGAGAAGAAACCCATGTAAGATTGCTTCATCTGGTCGTGTAGATAGTTTTCCTGTATAGTTTTAGGTATTAATCTACACTTAGTCGTCCATATATAGTTGTCCTGTCTTGTTTCAGGTATTAATCTGGAACTTGTTTTTGTCGGTCGTTGAAATAATTGTCCTGGCTGGTGTAGCAACCGAATTTTTAAATCAAGAGTCGCCACTATTAGTTTTTATCCTAGGGAAGGGAACCTAACAGAAAACCCTAATCCTCAGACAAAGATTCTAGGTTATGGACTCAATTAGACAAAAGGAAGGTGTTAGGCCCCTTTCATCTACCTTGATCACATGGATATTAAGCTCTAGGTTTAAGTTTGGGGTAAACAGGGTTTTAAGTTTTAATTAGCAAGACTCGCCACGATTTTAGATCATATGCCTACGTATCCTCTTATGAGGAATCAGAGTCCCAATTCATAGTTCGTATGGGTTGGTGTCTTTTAGGGGTTTGCAAACATATTTTGAATCACTTCGCACTCAGTCGGGAGTAGTGATTGCAGAGATTTCGACTGAGAGCGCAGTAAGCCAAAATTAGTTTGAAACCCATTTGCAAAAACAAGACTGTTGATTAGCTTAGTTTTATTCGTGAAAATAGTTTGAGATTTGTTTGTGTTTTTTATTGTGTTAATTATGAAGAAATCTTGATTAATGCATGGTTAAAAACTTAATGCAAATAATATAGAAAATAATATATGCAATTTTTTATATGAAAATAATTTATTTTATCATATAGTAATACTTACATATAATAAATAATAATTAATATTTAAAATATGGTAATAAA